GTTTCTTTTCTGGAAAGCGCCCTCGTTGTTGTTGTTGTTGTTAGATGCGCGCCGTGGACTGCTTTTGCATGCTTGGGACTTCTCTCTCTCTCTTTCTCCGTCGCACCTTTCTTTGTGGCGTCCCCAACACGTGGGACTGCTAGCAGGTGTGTATGTATATGTACACCTGGCCGGGGTGGAGGACAAAGGGGCGGACGAACTCCACTTCATTCTTCTTCTTCTTCCCTTCTCGCATGTCAATACGGTTTGCTGCACTCTGGTGAGGCAGAGAAGAAAAATGAATATCCTTGTTGTTGTTGCTGCTGTTGTTGTTGTTGTGTACATTTTTCCCCTCTCTGTTGCCTTTTTTTTATTGCAGTTGCATCTGATTCTTCTTGTTGCCTTGCCTGTTCTCCGCTTCCCTTTCATTGTCCTTCCTTGTTGCTCGCTGCTTTTCGTGCCCCTCTGTGGCTGCTGCTCTGCCGCGTGTGTGTGTGCGTGTGTTTGTGTGTGTGTGTTGTCTCTCCTTAAGTGTCGAGGGAGGAAGCAGACAAGGAAGGCGAGGTGGAATGGCGGAGACCGGCGAAGCGCAGCTGCCGNCTTCCCTTTCATTGTCCTTCCTTGTTGCTCGCTGCTTTTCGTGCCCCTCTGTGGCTGCTGCTCTGCCGCGTGTGTGTGTGCGTGTGTTGTCTCTCCTTAAGTGTCGAGGGAGGAAGCAGACAAGGAAGGCGAGGTGGAATGGCGGAGACCGGCGAAGCGCAGCTGCCGGCGACGGTGGCAGAGGCCTTTGCGCAGACCGCCAAGGCGCTGGAGCAATTCAAGATTGAGCGGGTGCGGATTGAGGGGCTCAGCAGCAGCAGCAGCAGGGGCGGTGATGACGGGGCGGTCAGGACAATTACGGAGCAGGAGTTTATGCGGGAGTTTGTCTTTCACTCCCGCCCGTGCGTTATCATCGGAGCACTGGATGAGTGGCCGGCGATGGAGCGCTGGCGCGACGACCGTTATCTCTTCGATCTTGATGGCCATCTACCGGCTGTGCAGAACGGAGACGAAGGAGGTGTGGACGCTGGTAGTAGTGGCGATGGTGATAATAGCGACTGTTCGTGCACTGGTGCCGAGGCTGAAAAGGAGCGCGATGGCAAGAAGCGAGTGACGGTTGCGCTGACGCCCAACGGTCGCGCTGATGCAGTAACATATTTGACGTACCGCGAGAATGAGGAGGAGGAGGTGGTGGCGGAGGAGCTGCAGCAGTGGAAGGAAGGGGTGGAGAGGGATGAAGGAGGCGACAGCGATGGAGTCGTGACAGCCAAGTTGTTCATGTGCGCTGCGGAGATCCGTGTGTCGCTGCCCGAGTTGTACGAACTCCTGCGCGCCAACNAGTCGTGACAGCCAAGTTGTTCATGTGCGCTGCGGAGATCCGTGTGTCGCTGCCCGAGTTGTACGAACTCCTGCGCGCCAACCCCCTGCACCCGCCGATAAAGCCGATGTACGTCGACATGCGCCGCAAGATGCCCACAATCGCCTACGCGCAGATGCAAAACAACTGTCTCGAGGTGGAGTACCAGCACCTCCACGGCGACATTAGCACCGCGCTGGACAGCTTCGGCGCGCGTGTCTTTGGCGGGCCGCATGAGGCAGCGAATGTGTGGTTCGGCACGCCGGCGTCGGTGTCCTCGATGCACCAGGACTGGGTGGAGAACCTCTATGCGGTGGTGCGCGGCGTGAAGGAGTTCCTGCTCGTCGCCCCGTGGGAGGGTGTCTTCGTGCCGAAGCCCGAGCTCCCCTCCGCCGCATTTGCCGTTCAGCAGGAGCAGGAGAGCGGTGATTATGTCTTCAACAAGGCGCCGGTGCGTGACGGCACAACAGTGCCGTGGATGGACGTGGAGTTTACGCCCGCCGCGATCGACGACGCCTCACTCATGACGGCGGAGCTGCGCGAGCGGCTGCACCCGCTGGTGGTGTACGTGCAGCCGGGCGAGGTGCTGTACCTCCCCGCCATGTGGCTGCACCGCGTGGCGCAGCACGCCGATAGCATCGACAGCAGCGAGCGCCGCGTGGCGGGTGATGAAGCGGTGGCGCCGCTTCCACTTATTGCGGCGGTAAATTATTGGTATGACATGAGCTTCACCAACCCCGCCGTTGTGATGTTGCGCGAGTTTGGTCTCCTACTCTGAAGAGAAGCACATTTCTTTCTGTGCTTGCTTCTGGGTGGGGATTCAAAAGGGTTTTTTTTTATTTTTATAAAAACAGTAGCAATGGTGTGGAGGGCAGAGGACAATTAAATACAGGGGAAAAAAAAGGGATAACATGTCCGGCCTTCGCCCCTCTCCTGTTGGCGGGGGCGTGTACTCATTCTCTGTGTGTATGCAAGCACGCAGCGAGACATAAATCTCTATGCATTGTGTATCTATGCACGTGTGTGTCCGTCATCACGGAGGCATTTCCGCATTTCTCATTTTGCCGCCTCCCTCTCCCTTTCCCGTCCCGTCTCCCTGCACACACACACACACATACATATATATATATATATATATAGTGTTCGTCCCTGCGTGAACAACGCAAGCACTGCCAACACGTTAGTGAGAGGGCTCTAAACAGGGAGCAGCCAGTAACAGTAAGTAACCCAAGCACACACCCACAAACACACATATACAGGAACAGGAAGAAAGGGGGAGAGAAGTGAAAATGACGGAGCGCTCCCTTATGATCCGTTGTGCGATGGCAGGGCGCTACTTCGCAGCGGGTATGGACTTTCCCAGCGCGCGCGTTTTTGACGTCTCCACTGGCACACTTGCTGCTGTAGTGGAAGTGCCGCCGCGAAGCCGCGCCTCACTTGCTGTTGTCTCACTGACAGCATTAACGTTGGGAACCATCACGCACGATGGTGATGCAGTTGGAGGGGGAGAAGCGGGTTGCGCCTGCTTTGCAGCGGTGGGGCTGAGCAATGGGACGGTACTTCTACACAACGTCGGCAAGGACGAGCTCGTGCAGCACCTCGCGGTGTCGGATACGCAGCAACCCATCACCGCCATGGCATTCTGCGGCCGTTATTTGTTCTGCCTTACCGCCAACCGCTCGCTGCAGGTGGTGGACTGCGTGCGCGGCGAGCGCGTCGCGGCAAACCTGCGTGTGCAGCAGGATGCGGGGGCTATTGCCGTTGTGGAGGACATAACTTCTTCTGAGGTCACTCCTTCTGCTGCGGCAAGGAAGAAGGCCGCCGTGGCGGGGTGTTCGTCGTACCGCATCTTTGTTGCGGGCCCGACCAACGCTGTGTACACCCTTCGCCTCACCACCACCACCAGCAGCAGCAGCAGCGAGGCGCACAACTCCGCGGCGGTGGCATTGGAGCGGCTGGTGTCCTTCGCGTCGCAGGCCTCCCGCGCAGACTTTGCTTGGATGGGCGGCACACCGCAGAGCCCTGTTGTTGTCACCGCCAGTGCGCAAGAAGGAGTCGTGCGGGTGTGGGACGCGCGGGCCACCGTTGATGGCCGTACTGTAGCATCGCGTTGCCGTCGCAGCCTGTTGTGCGGGCAGCGTATTGTGAACATTTCAGTGCAGGAGGCCACTAGCAGTAGCAACAAGGGCGAGGCATTCGTGGTAGCCACCACTTTCACTGGCTCTGTGCTTGTGTGGGAGCTGGGCAATGCCCTGCTCACTACTGTGGCGGAGCCGCTGCCGACGCCGCCGACATTCCGTCTCATGTCGCAGGAGAACTCCGCGCGGCTGCTGTTCGGAGGCCTCCTGGAGGGCGATAAGACGCCGTCACTGCTGCTGCTGCGCGGCCGCTTCGCTGTTCCACGCTTTGAGGTGATTGACGTGTGCGATGCCGCGGCGAAGGCAACAGGGCCAACAAGAACAACAACAACAGTGACAACGGAGGAGGACGTGCCGGTGTACGCAATGCCGACGGGGGCGAAGAGTGGGGTAAGTGCAATGATGGAGAATGCGGTGTCTGTGGACATGGAGGTGATCGACAACGCCTGGGCGACACACAGCCAGCAGCAGCAGCGGCAGCTCCTTGCCGCACGTGCGATGCACACACCGTCGGAGGGTTTTGTTCCACCTGTCGCGTTCCACGCAAAGAGTGTGAAGGAGCTTCCACAGAAGACTCTGACACTGGAGCAGCGGCTAAAGCAGCTGTCGATTGCCTCAGCTGCCAAAGCACCCCACCAACAACAAAAACAACAGCAGCATCAGTCGCATGCCTTGGGGCTTGCCACTGTGCCGCTGTATCAAGCACTCCATGCGAACGACGCCTCGGCGGTGATGGAGCTCCTCACTGTTGCCTCGCGCTCCGCCGACGACATTCGGGCGACAGTCATGGGCCTTCAGCTTCCGTACTGCCTGCAGCTGCTGCAGCTTCTCGCGCAGCGCGTGCGGGGGGCAAATTCCCGCTCGCCTCTCTTTGACTGGATCGATGCCATTCTGCACTACAGGGGTGTCGAGATGTATCAGGCGCAGCAGCAATTCAAACAACAGCAACAGGATGCTGCAACTGTCAATAACAACAGTGGCGCCAATGCCGGGTCGGATGCAGCGAAGGCGATGCCGTCCCCGCCAAAGGATTTTGTTGCACCGCTGCTGCATCAGTACAGCAGCATCACAGCCCTGTACGACCCTCTCGCAGCGATGTACGGCCGTCTCTCCATCTTCAAGTCGGTTCGTCCGTCGGAGCGCAGCGTCTTCGTGAACACCGACACTGGCGTCATCTTCCCCACGATGTTCACAGAGATACGATGTGCGGGTGGCGAGTACCGCACAGTGCGCGTTCGGAGCAAACGTGACCCGCGTCTGCAGAAGAACAGGAAGGGCAACGCGCTGGCGCTCCTCCGCAAGGCACGGCGCATTGCCGCTGCTGACGAAGAGGACGCAAAGGATGTGGACGATGAGGACGAAGACCTGGAGGAGCTTGATTTTGATGCACTTGACCGCATGAAACTCGACGACGACATGAGCGGCGATGACGATGATGAGGAAGAGGACGAAGAGGACGAGGGGAGTGACGCAGATGGGCGCCACGCGAAACGCGCACGTGGTGAGAAGCAAACCGCGGTGATGCTCGCGGAGTCCGACCGCGGCTCATCGTACGGCGTCGCCTCCTCATCGCACAGCAGCGACGCGGACTTCGACCCGGGGAGCGACGACGACGTTCACTCCGCCGCGGCAGACGAGGAGGAAGAGGACGAGGAGGATGACGATGATGACGATGACACCACCAGCAGCAACAGTATTGTGGGTGACGTGCAGGACGGCGAGGGTGATGAGGAGGGTGACGACGACGACGAAGGAATGGGAGAAGACATGGCGGAGCTGCTGGCGGCGCAGGGGGAGGAGCAGCAGCTCGAGGGACGGCGGCATAAGCGAGTAAAAACCGACCACTAAGGCTCGCAACGAAGATGTGTGTGTGTGTGTGTGNTTTTTTTTTGTTCTATTGTATTTAATGAGAAAGAAAGTAGCAGCAGCAGCAACGACAGATTCACCTGCTGTTTTTGCTGCTGCTGCTGCTGCTGCCTGTGGCCGCGTAAGCGAGTAACGAATGCGAGGGACGCGAAGCTAACTGAAAATGTGGTGTCCAGTCGCACACATACACACGGTGCGGCTCTTGCTGGTGGTGGTGGTGGTGATATATGTTTCTCTTCGGCTCTGTGGTATTCTCGCACATAATATGGCTCTGCTTCCTTTTCCTTTCCTTTCTCTTTTTTCTCTGCATTTGTGCTCTTTTTTGCTGCTGACACGCAATCCCACTTGAAGAGAAGGAAATCCGTGGAGAGTCTAAATTCATCAGTGGTTGATTATAGTTCTCCACGCACGCACACACACACACACANAGAGAGAGAGACAGAGAGGTAGACAGGGACAGAGCCCCAGCCCGTGGAGCATTATCCTCTTCGCAGGTCTCACTCACTCAGGACCGACGCAAAGTGTGCGATGGTGCCGTCGTGGCTGCGCTGGCGCCGTAGCGGGGTGCAGGGTATTGTGGAAGGACACTTCTGGAGCCTTACGCGCTACCGCATCGGCCGCCGCTTCGTCGGCCTCGACTACGCTGACAACGTCATATTCTTCCCCGCCTACCGCAAGCGGACGTGGGGTGGTTGGGCTGCCGTCACGCTTGGCGCGGCCAACACCGGCTACTTCACCAGCGACACCTCTGCGGTGAATGTGCTCGAGGACGGCTACCCACTGCACTGGCGTGCCAGCTCGAAGCTTCAGGCGTTCCTCGCTGAGGAGAAGAAGGTGTGGCAGGCGAAGAAGGAGCAGCAGTTGGTGCAGCGCACAGCAGCGAAAGTCATCGCGAGCGATGCTGGTGCTGCTACCGCTGCCACCTCCTCTGCTGCTAGTGGCGGTAACGGCGGTGATGCCGCCGGGAATGGCGATGGCGGGAATGGTGGAAGCAGCAACGCAGAACAGGAGGCGCACAAGTACGAGAACGAGCATAACTTTCGAGACGCGCTCACTATTAAATGCACGTCGCCGGGGTTCGCGCAGCGCCATTTGCGGCTCAGCCGGCTGACGACGCTTGTGTACAAGGCGATGTACTTTTATCTGTGGGGTGTCGCTATCTCGATCATTCTGCAGGCGTATTTGTTGTTCCGTGGCTGGCTGAACCCACCCGCACGTCAAGGGCTGAAGAACATTGAGGCCCATGTGCTGCACATCCCGAAATTGATCTTTGCCTTCGGTGTCACGGGCGTGGCATGGGTGGTGCGGAAGGTACAGCCGATCGTGGAGCCGTTGCTGCAGGTGCTGGAGAAGAAGTTCCCGCATGTGAATTGGAGTGCCGCGTCGCCGGAGGTCATCGCGTCACGCGTGCACCAGCTGGCAGGCAACGATGAGTCCGCGCAGCAGGCGGCTGCCATGGCGGAGGCGCGTTCTGCTGCTGCTGCTGCACAGAAAAAGTTGCAGAAGGCGCCAGGTGACGAGCATCGTGTGTGGTGGATGCGGGCACTCATGATGTTGTTGTGCTTATTCTCGCTTCTGTGTGTGCTGTGACATACGTTATTTTTCGGCACGCAGCGGATGACAAGAAGAAAGAGACACCAACAAGAAAAAAGAGGCATATGAATATATACATATATATATATTCATGTTTTTGATAACTGTTATATTATATCTATCTATATATCTATAGATATATATATATATATATGTGTGTATTACCTGTAATGAAACCAGAACAAAAGGAACGAAGACGCGCGGGGGTGCGGATCCATATAGCCCCCCACTGCACGTGCCT